TAATCCGTTCTGGCGTGGAGGACAGGGAGGCGGCTATTTCTTGGAGGGAGAGTCCCCCTCCCCACGACCACATGTTAGTGGCGGAAAACTGGCCGCGGATCACGTGTCAGGGGCGGAAAAATGGCCACGGACCACATGTCAGGGGCAGAAAAATGACCGCGGACCACGTGTCACGGGCGGGACAATGGTCGCGGATCGGGTCACGGGAGGGAAAATGGCCACAGATCCTGTTCGTAACCCGAGGCGGAGTTCGCGAACCGAAGCAAAATTTTGCGGCCGGAGCTGGTCGTCACCTGAAAAGTTCATGAACAGAAGCGTTCGTAACCCGAGGTTCCACTGTATATCTTCCTGTGCGTTAGGCAGGGTTTTTTGTGTTGAGTTACATTTTGTGAGGGTCACATCACCCTGGGCACAGAGAGAACCGCTCCTGTCTGTGCTCCTGTCCTCTGAAGATGCCGGCAAAACGTTAGGAACCAAAACTTCCAGAACACGGCCACACAGCCCGGAAGACCCACACCGGCCATCGTATGCCAGCCGTGAAAGCCTTCGACAATACACAGCCTGACACTGCTTTTAACTTTTGCTTCCCTTGCGCACACATGCACCCTGTAAGATATTGCTGCCTGCAAGCATACTGCCATGACCTGATCAGCAAAATTGGATAATAGCTCTCCATTAAGTGCAATCAATCCAAAAGGATCTTCCAGATACACACTATCATTATTGCATGGTACTAAACGGCTCAATTTACTATTATGGCTATTGACCAATAACATTAAAGACGATGCATTTTAATACAGGCAAGGGGCAGAAAAATCTAAACTGCTCAATGCAAAGTAATCAAGTTTCTTTTGATGAATACAGACACCAGGAAACATGAATTTTATTACTGTTCTGGCCATCGGCTAACCCTGTTCTGACAGCAATAAGCAAACAGAAAATGCATCTGATTTACCCAGAAATTCATCAAGGGAGGCAATCAAATTATTACAGATATCTGAATAAGAATATGTATACATTCATGAGATACTAATTTAACTTTCTCAGAAACATACAGGCGGATTATTTCAAGGAGCAACCCAATATCTATCAGCCAATAAACCAAAAGGCAGAACAAATATTAGCTCATTGTCCTATTTCCCAAAGTAAGATTCTGCATGTGGGCACCTTCATTGCTCAGAGAAACACAGGAATTTCAGATACTATGAACAACCTTTTTGTAGCAGGAATGGGAAAAGTTTGACCATAAAACCGTAAGCTTGATGGGGCCCATTCCCACAACCATGCCCTTGAGGTACAATCATCTGAGAAGGCTCTCTTCCTATCTGGTATTTTTTACTGCACAAATGCCAAGAGATGTCTCAGCCACTAAGTCAATTAAGTTCTCTATCTCCTTCTTATGGGCAGCCCAGAGAAAATCCAGTAACATTCAGATCTACATACTGGCACCCAAGATTTCTACAGAGGTTGGATCATCCGTGTCTTGATGATACTACGAAGAGAAGAACTCCTTTCCTTCTATCCAAAGTGACCAATCTCTACTGTTCAGCAGAACTTACTTCATGATCAATGTTCTCAAATCACCACCTCCTTCAAACACCCACTATTTGGGAACACTGCAAATATCTGAATACACCATGACAGTTACTTGGAAATCAATGTATTTACGCAGAGTTTCCATAACCTAAAGACTGATCTGATGCCAAGACTGTTGGCAGCCGAAGTAATGATTCACAGTGGGTTTACACACATTGTATTCTACACAGAATTTCATATTTGGGTATCTAAGGCACCGAAAGATGACTTACCAGAGTATTCGAGGAGTTATAGTCTTCTGCAGATTTATCTAGAAGAAAAATAGAACATCTTCAGATAACTCGGCATGTTATCTCATCAACACCAAAGGCCACTCAGATCAAACCAGCAAAACAGGGAAACAGTGAAACTGAAATCTAACCATTTAGATACACATCTAGAAATGTACACTTGTGTACCCTCCAGACTGTTAAACTCCAATACCCAGAATTCCCATGCTGGCTGAGAATACTGGGAGATCAGTCCTGACATATCTCAGGCCGGGAAAGCTTGTTGCACAAACCCTGGTTTCATAACCACATCCCCTTCTTCCCAATTGGTCAGAGCACCTTGCTTTGATTGGTGCCCAAGAGGAAGACCTCCCCCTCACGCTACAGCAGAAGTTATCAGGGTCAGCCCTGAAGGTGTCCCAAAGCATCTTTCTAGGCCTGCACCCTTTCCAAAAATCTGGCCTCCACAACCAGGGTCTAACTGGGCCGGCCATCTTGCCCTAGCTCTCCATGCCCTGTATCTTCAAGATTTGTATTCATTTGTGAGTCTTTTAATCATGCTGAAGTATAATCTGGAGGAGGTAGGGATTAAAATGGTGGATTTTAAAACTTACTGTAGCCCAATTTTTAAACAATGATTATTAAGGTTGGGAGGAACGTAAAATCGCAACCCTGCTAATGACGTGTTCATTTCAAAAAATAAGCCAGACCAAAGTTATGACTCTCGCAAACTGCTAGGTTCTTGAGGACTTCTTTGAAACCAAAACCTAGCATCTAGGTTGCCAGTTGACAATTTCACCAATGTTGAATCAGCTTTCTGCAAATGTGCAAGTGAAATATCAAGAGCTGGTTTGGGCCCTTAAGACCATTTAATTTAGGAATAATGTATTGTATGAGCTTCTTGTTCCAACACAAATCTAGTTGTGGTGGATCTCCTGTCACTGTACATGTCCAAGCAGAAACTAGTCATTTATCAGGGATACTTTTTTGATTCCTGCACTTAGCTAAACAGTGGACCTAATGACCTTAATGGTCTATTTCAACTCTATGAAAAATTATCTGGCAACACCAGATAATCTGGATTATCTGGATTCACTTCTTTGCTAGAGATGAGGCAGGTGATACTAAGAAGTCACACAGCTGTGGAATGTCCTCCCTGATTTATCCATCTGCGTCTAAGATACTGTCCTTTAATGCCAAGTATTTTTATCCAGTTATTTTGAATTCAGTCCTTCAAATTTTTAGTTTTATATGTTGATGCTTGATTATACCAAACATTACATCAGTTCTTACGTTGTCCTAATTTCTATAAGGATAGCTGTGTTAGTTACACCAACTATCAACAGTTTATTTTGAGATTAGATCTCATGAAGTACATTCACTGCACCAGATGGAGGGTGTATCATCCTGAGAGAGAGTGGGAGGAATTATAAAAGTTAAGTTACACAGAAATTAAACAGAGAAGCCACAGACAGTGATAATTACTTTGGACTGGGTATGACATAGATATCCTTGCAAGGCATAAGCCACAGTTTATTGCTGTCTTAAGAATTGGATTTATCAGAGTAGAAACAAGCCAATGTTCACTACTAAGATGAAGGATTTTTTTCTATAAGCTGAGACACATTTTCCTATACTTCATGTGAAACAGTCAAAGTTAAAAAAGGATGGGCTGTCAGAAAAGATCTTATTAAGCATTCAGAAGGAAATTTCATAGCGTTTTGCACTCTGAATAAACAGACATCTCCCATTCCAGGTGCTGTAAATTTTACTGAATGTCATGATGTATAAAGCCCAAACGTAAGACATTCTACCTTCATAATGTCCTATTCTCAGGTTCTTCTGCTACTCTAGATAGCAGAAGGGTTCCCCAACACTAACCCTCTAAATGTCCTACAATGAAACTCTAAGCAACAATAAATGTGTGCATATACAACAAAAAAGTACATCACATCCATGAAACATACACACAAAAAGATGTCTGATGCAGGTCACAATGATATCACACACACCATGTTGTTATCACACAGGTTACCAACTTGCATTATTTGTGCAATGGCCTCATGCTGCATGTGACATCGCTCCTCTCTCCCCATGTTGAACTGCCATGCACAAACATTATATTTTCATACAATTGTACACATTATTTGTTCCTTATCACCCCTTGGATGTCAAGGGGAATTGGTCAAGATCACCGCAAATTCTCCTGAGGTCTCAAGCCAACTACGTGGAAAGTCTATCAAGTCCAGCCTACCATCTCCACAAGAAGAGACTTCTTGACCTTGTCTAAACAAGGTTACCTACCTGTGAAACTCATGTATTTCTGGCTGTTTGAGGTCTTTTTGGAATTGTAGAACTCTAGGACATCCAGAACTGCTTGGGGATTCTTCTTTTGCTCTAACTTGGTGATGTTGGATGTCTGCAGCAAGCGGGCCCATTGCTCTGGCATGCCCTAGAGTGAATAATTTTTTTAAGAAAGAGTGATTAGCATTCCCTGTTATCCAAACGAACACTTTCCAGAAGCTCTTCTCCTGCTTAAAGTGAGAGTTTCACCCAGCAGTATTCCACTGCCATAGACATCTGGGCAACAGTGAAGGAGTTTGCATTCTTCACACCTCCTAAATAAGGAACAAATTGCTAGATGCAGAAGATCCAGATCAGTGTTTCTCAAACTTGGCAACTTTAAGATATGTGGACTCCAACTCCCAGAATTCCCTAGCCAGCATGCCAAGAGATCACTCCAGCGAAGATTCCCAAAACTTTCCTGGCAATCAGTTCTATTGTCAAGACATTTCTCCTCTTAAGAAACAACACAGCTTGTTCTACAGGGAGTGCAGCCATCGTACACTCTCGGCCAAAGAACAATACACTCCCATCTGGGTTGGTCATCTTGTCCACCGAGTGCGCAATTTCAGGAGGGACGCACACCCACCTAGCCAGCCAGATCAAACCTGACAATCAATGGGATGGTAGGTGTGGCAACCAGACAGCCTTCTCATCCAAGCAACAGCAGAGAAGCATCTGGCCTCGTCTGCATGATATAACTTTTACTTTCTGAAATTCGGAAGCAGTCATTCTGCCAAGGGAACCTAAAAATGTGTTAGCTTTTTCTGCAAATACATCACACTGCTAACCGAAACTCAGCTTGTCCTTGACTAACAGCCAATGTGTCAGGAGCAGCTGGTACCATCTTCCTGGTGAGAAGGTATGACTGAAGGATTTGGATGCAACTTGGTTGCTCAGTAGTACATTTCTAAGCCCAGGTGATATTCCCCTGTGCTTGGATCCATCTGGGAAGGAAAACAAGCAGCTTAAGATCTGGGAATGTAATGAGATACATTCTCCACTAAAAGAATTGGAAATACAATCTCATGTATTTTATCATTTCCATGCAGTTTTGAAAGCCAAGGACTTCCCCGAACGGAAACAGGTTCCTTGTGTCTTTCTTGATCTGGGGAGATTATTTCTAAACACTCATCAGCTTCTATTCCACATTAGTCCTTTGATGAGTAATTTTAAATGGAAAAAAATTGCTACATTGCCTTCTTTGTTTTCAATTTTTGCCCATTTTTCAGGGGGGGGAAAAGAAAACTTCAGAAAAAAATGATTTTTTTCCCAGTAGTTTAGGGCTTTGTGGCTCAGACCTTGACATGTCTAAGTATCATAGGGTGGTTTCTGGTCCAGAAGATGAGGAGGCCAAAGTTATGGTCCATTCTCCATGGAAATTACTCCATGAAAATCTGTCAGTCCAGGCTTGTTGGAAGGAGCAAGACCATGGGTACTTATTACCAAATGTGTTAGAACTCCAACTCCCATAATTCTCATCAAATGTGAATCCTGGGAGTCATGGAGACTGCTAGACTGGTGTATCCTGGGGAGGAAAACTAGCAGCCTGCATTTGACCTGAACCCCTTTCTGGTACTTGCTAAGTCAACCCTGGGATCCTTGATGTTTACATTTAGGCTGATTCAAGAGCACGCTGCATTTCTTTACTGCAATTGCGTCTGTAAGTTTTTGTGTGGCCCCATCCATTCCAGTGATGTCGCAAGGTCACCAGCTATGCACCATGAGATCCTTGAAGACCATTTTTTTTTTTTAAGCTGATTTTCTCTTTTAACTACTGAGGAGAATCAGCAGAGGGACAAGTGATATCATGGGGCTGACGCAGATTGTATAACCAGTGTGATTTGCACCACAAGGTCACTACACATCTGGCACCATCACGGCCTTCACTAGATGCTACTCCCGCCTTTCCGGTTCTTACCGTAAATTCACCTGTGACAGCATCAAATCCAACGTGGATCGTGTGTTCGAAGTCTGACGGAAGGGAGATCTCAGGCCGTTCTTTCTCCTTCTTCTTGTTTGCTGTTGTGAAAAGGAAACCAAATTAAGCAAAAAACAAAACAAAACCAGAATTATTTTTATTATTTTGCACACCGCCTGACTCCCAGCAACTCTTCAGCTGACCCTGTTGTAATATTTCCTCATTAGTACTAACAAATACGAGGCCTCCATCTCCAGGGGTTTTACTATCCAAGGACCATGCAAAGCACAAGGATGCTCAGTGTTACCAGTTTTAAGATTCTAGTAATTCAGGCAGTCCCTATTATAAATTATGCACATTACAGTCACAGCTATTACACAGCTGGTAAATTCCTGCAAAAATAATTCCAAAAGTCATACTTTGTCCTTCCTCCCCTACAAGGGTGTAACTGAAGCCAATCTGCATTTTGAACATTTGGATTCTGTGACAAATCTGGCTTCTACTCATTTAACCCCCAAAGCTGCAGGTCATCAGTCAAAACTTGGTGCTCTCGTTTCTAATCTTACCACAGGTACAAAAAGCAAACCTCCATCTTCTCCTGCTGATACAAGTATTTTAGGAAGCCTATAAGCTTTTTTCATTTTGGCAAAGTCTTTTTGTAATTAGGGGCTTCAGCAGAAAGCGCCAATGGGGAATTACATCAGGAAATACAATGACATCGTAATGGCTTACAACAGACGCCTATGATTTTAATGGGTACGTTCACACAACATGCCAAATGATGGCTTTTAAGCCATGATTCATTAAAAACATAATTGAGTGGATCCCTACCATATTATCCCAATTAACTAGGGAAACCTAGTCCCAACAGCTAAAGTCCCCCACTATGCTAAACCCAGGTTAACAAGACTTAATTGTTGTTTTCACACAGCGTACTTAATATAACATGGCTTAATATATGGGTCTCATTCATACAGCATATTAAGATAATGGCTGGATTCCTATAAAACGTTTAGCCAAAAACTACACAACGCACCTTAATTTAGTCAACAGAAGAATGTTTTTCAAATTTACCCAACAAGGCACCAACAAGCCAGCCACATTATGGTCACGTGCAAACCAAATACCAAGCCATGATTTCCTGAGCTATAAAGTACTGAACAAACACCAACTGAGGAGTTCATAGAACACATTAAGCTATAAACTCTGGTTTGCAGTCCACACTGGTTGGACTCACACAGCACACTCAATAATAAAGCAACCAGCATTTTGGCTTAATTTGTTTACTTAATTAACCAGTTTCTGGATTCACACAAGACACTGAATCAGAAACTAACCCCAGACCACATTAGTGCAAAATGCTAAGCCAGGAACAAACTAATTAACATGCTGGGCTAAAGTAGGTATTAAGTCTTTAATCCAATTCAACATGTGGTGAGAATCTACACAACCCTTCTCTTCTTACGGCCTCTGCTTCTAGAGCTCTGATGGGAAAGAGAAGAACATCTCAACTCACCAGGACTTTCTAGCTGAGCTCCCATCTTCTGGAGGTTTCCTCTGTGCAAATTCCATAAAGGAGACACAGAATTCACCTTTATCCACGAAAAGTCCCACCCTGATTTCCCATTGGTTGATCCAGGGGTGGCAGAAATTTTCAGGATCTACTAAGACTTCTTGGGTTGACTCAGAACTTGACATAGGCTTGATGTGAATATGGGCCTAACCCACTGCTTGCTCAACCATAGTTTATTAAACAGACCATAATTGGCTAGGCTCAGGCAACCCACTAAGCTATTATCCATGTTTAACATAACCCATGCTTTACAGGCAAATCACATTATAGTTTACAGCAGTGTTTCTCAACCATGGCAACATGAATGTGTGGACTTCAACTCCCAGAATTTCCCAGCCATTCTCTCCCAGGGAATTCTGGGAGTTGAAGTCCACACATCACCACTGTTGAGAAACACTAGTTCAGAACAATGGACAGATCCTGCGACGGCCACCCCTGACATGCCAGGACAGTAACTCCCATCGTCTCCTGCAACAGGGAAGGAGCTAGGCTGAAGAACTCTGGAAGGACAATATGAAGCGTTTTTCTTTCAGATCATTTTCCAATGGAGGAAAATAAACACCCAAGAAAAGTTAGGTATGAATCCTGCTCCTGCTGTTGCTCCTTAATTTTAAAGGTCTGGACAATCTGCTCCTCAACATTTTTCATCTGGCTTTAATTACTGGGTCTTTTAAAGTCAAGGAAAAGTTTTTTTAAAAAAGCAAGGACATCTTTGTTATAGGGTATACAATATTATTTCTTTAAGGATGCAGAGAATTGGCTGTGCTGTTAAATTCAGTACAGTTAGCAGGATTTTGGAGTGAACAAAGAAGACAGGGATATGTATGAACAAAGAGGATATGTATATGTATTGTATTTTATATTGTTTTTAATTGCTGTGAGCCACCCAGAGTCATATATTTGAGATGGGCGACTATATAAATTGAATAAATAAATAAATATGAGAAACCAATAAAGGTATTTCTTTTTTCTTGAAACAGTGTAATAGTTATGAGTGATTTCAGGCTCAGTTGCCACCTGCCCTCACTCCTAACTGGCTTCATCTTTGTTCAGAGTTCCTTCCAGCCAGCCACTTCCAATCTCAGTTTTTCTATTTCCTTTTTCAATAGTCACTGTACATTTGGCTGGCTGGGGAATTCTGGGAGTTGAAGTCCACAAAGCTTAAAGTTGCTGAGGTTGAGAAACACTGGCCTAGAATTTTGCAGAGACTTAAATTTGGCCGTGCTTGCAGAGAATTTTGGGCATCATCATGCCTGCACATCGAGAGGTCACCAACTTAAGGACAGCCAAGATGTCTCTGGATGATGCTTTCTGCATCTGATAATAAGCGGTTTCAAAATGCACAGCAGCAAGGATTGAGAATCCAATTAATTGGCTTGAAAATCTATTAAGTAAACGGACATTTAAATTCCTGGCTTAGGAATTTATAAAGGCTTCTAGAAGTGCAAAAGCGAGCAAATGGGTTACTCAAACAAGAGCTGAGCCTGAACATATTAGAATATTAACCATTTCATCCCTTCATGCTGCCCAAAACAAGATACAGGTAGTCCTCACTTAATGACCATTCATTTAGTGACCATTTGAAGTTACAGCAGTGCTGAACAAAGGGACTTACGACCAGTCCTTACACTTATGACTGTCAGAGTGCCCTCATGGTCACATTATCATGATCCAAGCACTTGGCAACCAGCTTGCACTAACGATGGTTGCAGCATCCCAGGGTCACGAGATCGCCATTTGTGACCTTCCCAGCTGGCTTCCAGCAAGCAAAATCAATGGGGAACCATGTGATTCACTTAACGGCCACAATGTTTCACTTAATGACTGCTGCAAAAAAGGTCGTAAAATTGGGCACAACTTGCTTAACAACTGCCCTGCTTAACAATGAATTTTTCAGTCCCTATTGTGGTCGTTAAGCAAGGACTACCTGTATCTTGCAGCTGGATTCAAGGGTTTATAAGAATTAGTGATTTCATGGGCTGCTGAACTAGATGTTACCGTATATACTTGTGGATAAGCCCATCCACAGATAAGCAGACCCTCAACTTTTTCGTATGTTTTAATTCTCACAATTGGCTTATCTGCAGGTGGTGCATTTTTCATGGCATTTTGATTAAAAATTAAAGGGTCTGCTTATCCCTGGGTGGGCTTATCTGCAAGTAAAAAAGTATTACCATATATACTGGCGGATAAGCCCAACCCAATTTTGGGGGTGTATTTTGGCCCCTAAAATTCTTAGCTTCTCCACAAGTATATACGGTAATCTTTTCTCATAGCGTCTGTGGATATTTCAGCAGAGTCTTTGATGGGGCACAAAATGGATCAGATCTTTCAAACAAAAGCCTTTCTTGCGTCATTCTAGAGCAGTGTTTCTCAACTTTGGCAACTTGAAGTTGTGTGGACTTCAACTCCCAGAATTCCCCAGCCAGCATGCAGGAAAGTAGGAGTTCATAAATTGCAGAGTTTATTCTATTTTTATTTCACCCTTCCTCACCTAAGAATAGGTAACTGTACGTGGATAATCTTGCGAAAAGTAGGCTAGGCAAAGAGAGAACAACTTCCCCAGATTCATGCAACAAGTTTTACAGCTGAGTGAGGATTTGAACTCGTGTCTTCCCAGGCCAAAACAAACCCAAAATTCTCAAACTCTGCAATCCCAGGAGCCTTAAACGATCTGTAAGTTTGTGTGACTCTCCTTCCCAAGAGGAAAATGAATTTTTCCACTGGGAATCGGGTTGTGCAACAAATAAATACCCCGTTTCCTCTTCTGAATGAAATGTTAAGATCAGATCAAACCAGGATAAAACCTTGATGAAATAAAAAGGATAAAAATGCTGAACTTAGTGAACACAAACACTTTTAGAGAGGTTCAGAAGAAGATGCACACAATAATTACACACCGCCCTGGAGGCACACAGATGTTGTATCAGCATCTCCATTTATAGTTTTGCAGCAGTTTCCCCAAACAGGCATTAAACTGTAAGCCCTTTATGTGCACATCCCTACAGGGACAAAAGGGACTGTCAACGCCCTAAATTGTGAACATTATTATTTTTAGTTAAAACTGAGTGAAGTCTTTATGATATAACCTTAGAGAAAGAGGGTAAAATATAAATGCATTTATAACTGCTGTCAAAAAGATCAGAAGCTGCTTCTTTACCATCTTTTCTCATTCTTTTTCTATTTTCTCTCTTCCTTATTCACTATTCTTCCTTATTTTCTTGGTTTCTTCTCTAATATTTGTATTGTTTTTATCTTGCTCGAAATTTCTTCAATAAAAATTATGTTAAAAAAAAATGGGTGGTCTCACAAAAGCCCCCCGTTTTGCAAAATTCCAGTGTTCTTGCAAGGACTGAAGACGGAAGAACACTGAAAGGCTGAAATTTCAGCGTTCATATGAGAACTGGTGGTATCTCAGGGGCCAGACTGTTGCCCTGTCTCAAGGCATGACAGTTTCACAGTTTGGCTCTTTTTAAAAATTATTTTTAGGGACCTGAAAACTCAAACCGGCACGAATTGGGAGAAGGAAGTGCAATGCAATGAGCTAGCAGAGAAATCGCTCCAATTTAAGAGGAAAATGTTTTGGCTTAGGGTTTTTTAAAAAGTCTCAGCAGAGCATATACGTTCATTATATGCTAAAACTGTTATTATCCCACTGTATCCTGAAGGTCGGATACAACTGCAACTGCTTTTTTCCACCTTCCACTCCTGTCCCCTTATTGTTTAGGTCCTTAATTTACTACTGCACTGGGAACATGATGGGCTTAAGAGGGGAAATAGGGTTTAAGCAAATCCTAAAATAAATGCCTAACTGGATCAATTTTTCTGAAAATTGGTGCAACTTTTAAAATTCCAAGTTGGAAACCAATCCTGGGCTGTAGTTTCTCAAAATTACTCCCAGCTCCTGAATAAATCTGATTCAGAACAGACATGCCCAGAAGTAAACTTGTGGTTTGTAATAAGATTGGGACCCAACAATGTTTGCTGAGGATGTGTAACTCTAGAGCAATATTTCTCAACCTTAGCAACTTTGAGATGCGTGGACTTCAACTCCCAGAATTCCCCCCCCCGCCATGCCGGTGGGGGATTCTTGGGGGTTGAGGATTCGGAATTTCAAAAGGGTGACGTGGAGGGAAGGAGGGTTTGGGCAAAAAATAAATT